AAAATGCGGTAAAACATCTTCGATTCCTTTCACGCAAGACAATAGCCGCTTTCTTTACTTAAAAAAAATAACCATTTTAATTAGTATGGTAACTCGATATTGCGTTCAACATATTTCTTTAATATCGAGAACAGAAAACGGCAAATAAAAGAGAATATTGCTAATAGGTCGGTAAGGCAATGTAATCTTGTAAGAACCTCCAACTTTATTTGGAAAATCCCGTCTCATTAACATTTATATACAATTTTAGCCACTTTAGTAGAAATCATTGTTTGTATACCCTCTCCTAGACAAAGAAAAGGGTTTTCACCCACTGATCGTACCAAACTACAGATAAAAAGTATGCCTAATAAAGGTGTGTTAACTTTAAACGTCTCCGGATTTTTGAACGGCAATATGGAAACATTACACGCGCGCCATTTGTGGGAGCTTAGTCGACCTAATCTTACGAGCCTTAAAATATCAACTTTTGGGGAACGTACGTCGACTAAGGGCGTTTATAGACGATTTAAGAACCTTCCAAGTACCTTATTTCCATGATTTTGTCCTTTTTCTATCCCGAAATCTTTCAAAAAGGCTCCCTCTTTCAGGCTCTGAGCATTGTTCTATTCATGTATTCGAGTAGTCATGAAGGACTTTCAGAATCTACTTCAACCGACTATCTTTTTGGGAAAGATGGAAGCGCTACAAAAATTGAAAACATAAATAATTAAAATTCCGTTCAAATAAAGTACTAAAGAACAAAAGATTTAGCTAAATGATTCTTGGACAAAAAATTGACACAGTCTTAGCTGCTTGTCAAACCCACTTGCGACCGACAGCTGAGACCATTCAAAACCGTCAGGTTACTGACAGTTTCTATGGTTCTTAGTACGTAGCCGAATTAAAAAATGACATCACCGTGCAATTAAACCCACACCCACTGTAGAACAGATGATCTCGCACTACACTGATAATATTTTTTTTAAAGATCTGATTCACTGGTTGCGTAGCACGCTAGCTGACAGAATATTTAAAGGGAGACCCTCTGACCTAATAACTTTTTAGTTCATTCTCAGAAGCCAAATAAATTTCTTGGAAACTGAAAAAGGAAAGATATATCGAGACTGCCGCTAAACACCCGTTCGAACGAGGGTCGAAGTTTATATAATAGAGGCGTCTTTCCGAGGTAAGACTACAATATTCAAAAGAACTTTTGTTTTAAAAGTCAGCGTAAATGTAAGGAACACCAACGTTAAAGACCGGTTTGAAGAATATTAGTTTTCTTTCATAACGTGTGAACATCATTAAAATCGTTATGCTTATAAATAGAGGATATGAACTCTTACAGCGGAAATCAGTAATTTTGTTCAAAGCAACTTAAAATCCAAACTGAGTTGCTACTTTCGCGCTTCATTTTCAACTACATTTAAAACTTGTGGAGCAGTTTGCCACGGTTACTACTTATGGTCTCGGTTTCAAAACCACTGGAACTAGAGCTTTGAAAGCGCTCACGAGATGAATGAGGAAGTTGTGTAACTGAAAACACTTAGGAAGACTCGGTCCGGCGAAAGGGGAATTAAACCTGTAGCACGTTGAATCACATATGTATCTTCTCATACGATTTTCATTGGCGACAAGTTGAGGAACCGATGCCAATGCCCCTGCATACATACATCTGAAACATCTTAGACTGAAGGGCCATATGGAACGTCGAAAACCATCTGAATCTTTTGTCGAGATCAACATGATATGTTTATCTTGGACGGAAAAAACAACAAACGTCGCCGTATTTTCTATGTGTCGAGTAGCAAAATGTCTAGGTTAAAACAGAATTATTTATTTTGTGTGAATTAACGGAAAAATTCTCAGGTAGACCTTTTTCGAAAGTATTAAATGCATACTAACCGCTGCGGTTGATGTAAAATGCAGCTGCGCTCACCAGCCTGTCGTTTCATCACCGGCAATAGTTTACTTTTAATCAGTAAAGGCCTTTCGCGTTCGATTCATATTTCATATTCATATTTCAGTTCAAATTTTGATATAAATAACTAGATATATTTAACATCAGTAACCCAATCCTTAATTTAAAAGCGATATTTCCAAAATTACTGACGTATGAAATTTTATTACTACAATCCCAAAGACGAAACATTCAAAAAGTTTTTAAGGTTCTCTTCAGAATAAGCGATGATGTCTAGGCACACATAAAAGAATATTTTATAAATTTCAAACAACTTGATGAGGACTCAAAAGGTAGTGAGAAATTCAGTTGGAAGCTAATATATTTTTAGGGGGAGTTCCTTGAAAGCACAAGTGACTGTGATCTATTAAACAGTTCTACCGTGTAATGGACAACTGTAGATACAATAACCTTTCAGCGAATTTATTCGGAGGGAAACACTCTTTGTTGGCAGCACGAGATAACTTGAACCATAAATAAAAAAGCAGTTAGCCTTTCTCGAAATATCGTGGCGACAGACAAGTTTTCGTGAATACAGAAGCGGGAAATGCTTGTGCGTCAAATGTTTTTTGTTTTGGTAACATTAACTCGGCAACGGATAATAACAGAATTACAAACTTTACCACCAAGATTCATTATGGAGGCACCTTGTCCGTCTCCGCCGACAAAAGCCATCAATCAATTTTTGCGCACACTATTTTTCGCGGAAAATTCTTAGCAGCTGCCCTTAATAACATAAGCGAACATTTAAATAATATTTGATATGTCGCTGAAAGAAAGTTGTCCGAAGAAAAGGGATAACTTGATATCATAGATTCGGTTAAATGTTTCACGGACACAATAATTGTTAATGTAAATCGGCTACCATGGAAAATTTACGAAGCTGACGTTTCAGTCGTTAGATCTTGGTTAGAGCGACATTAATCGGAAGTTTAGTTAAGCATCGAAATCGCATCGATAAGTAAGAAAGAGGAACACCTACTGTTGCACTTGGACTGTTCTTTAGGTGGAAAAAAGCCCACAAAATAGATTGAGTTTTAACAGGGGGCGAACTTGTCAAATATATCTAAATCGTGTCGATCATGTCTGGCTCTCATGAATTTGCACGCATTCAAACTACGCATGAAATTAAATGTTGTTGAGTCTAAGAGCAGTAATGGGAAATGGAAAAATCAAAGTGCTCTGTGAGCAAACTCGTGAATTGACACATGATTTTTTAGATTATGTTTAATGTTATCTGGTTTAGGGAATTTTGTGGTTGATTGTCATATCTAGAGTACGAGCAGTAGTTCAGTATTCACTAATGTAGCAAAGAAACAAAGTAACGTTGGGATAAGAAGGCATTACAATTGAAATGATCATGCTATTACATTTGACAAGGTGGATGATGTCATGTGTTTTAAACGTCTATCATTTTTGTTTCTAGTTCAAAAGAAAAGGTTGGAAGTAAATGTGGGTGGAAAGTGAAATTTACTGTCTTTCGTTGTAAATATTAGAAAATCAAGGCAATACTGTCTGAATGAAAACATTAATGATTCCCTCTTTATCAAATGAGACAAACTGGAACGAGTTTTGAGTGATATAACTAAGCCAAGCCTGCCACCGTCATTTTGGATCTCAGCCTGGGTAGATTTCATGAGGGGACGCCAATCGTCTGCACTGTAAGTACATATCAAGCTCTGTAGGTGATTTAATCCCATTTTAATCCCATCCGATCTCACAATTTACGAAAACTTCATTATTCTTGTGAAAAATGATAGCCGTCTTATTGAAACTTGATGACAAGTATAAGCTGGCAAAGAAAACAGTGCAAAAGCAATTATCTGTCACATCGATGTCAGCAGCAACAGGATTATGACACCTTACAGTCCCCATACATTTTCTTAGACTAAAAGTCTAAGAAAATGTAGGGGACTCTCCGGGATACTTACAGTAAAGACGACTTGCGTCCCCTCATGTTAAGTCACGTGCTAGGCAACGTATAATCCATAACAAGATAGAATTTCATTTCAGGCCTATTTATCAATTTTGTGGTGGGTAACTTTCGCATTTTAGTACGTTGTATGTATGTTGAATCTTCAAATTGTCTTGAAGCTTAAAAGAAAATTGTTCTTTAAAAATTCACTGAAAATCGGTAGCTAAAATTGTTTGTTTAGGTGTTATTTGATTTTCGTGTTAACTTGTAATTTCGTCAGTCGCCGGCATCTTTTGTTGCTTCACACAAGAAAAACACACGCGACGAAACTTAATGATCAATTTTGTCCTCAATCTCACGCCATAACAGAAAAAGCTTTTGAACATCTGTAAACTCCGAGCGCTTCGCAGTAAGTAATATTTTCAATGAATCTTCGGATTGTTTTCGAGTTCAAGGATTGTAAATTACAATTTTATGAAAAACGAAGGTTGTTCTGTTATTTCAGTGTGAATCCTTGCATGCCTGCCAGTCGCTGGCGCCGCTTGTTGAAACTAAAACGAAAAAAAAACTCTTTTAAGATTATCATTGGCTTCTTTTTCACCCGCACCATTATTCTTAGCAACAAAGGTAGCCATTTCTTCTGTTTATTACACGCCAAAAACTATCAAATGCACTCAAAAGCCTAAAATCTAAAAAAAGTTTACAGGAATCGACCAATCGAGCGAGCGAATGCCATTCCCCACATCGTATCTATAACTCGCTCTTGCGCATGCGCGCAATTCACGAGTTAAAAAGGAATGACGAGTAGGGTATGATGGGAAATTGCGAATGGGACAATGAGACGTAGGAAATGAGAAACGAAAAGTGGGAGATGAGAGACGGAAAAGGAAAATATAGAAGACGCCAAAATTGATAATTAGGAAAACTAAAAATTGTATGGTGAACAATAAGAAGAATTAATAATGAGATTTTGGGAGTGACAGGGTTAGCGTTAATGTTTTAAATACCGATAAGGGTGCCTCGATGATAAAATGATTAAAAAACGCTATGCTTTCTGTGTATTGCATTGTATTGTTACTTGTGCGGGGTTAACTAAAAAATTTTTCTTTCTCTCTCATTATCAATGCACAGGTTACCGTCAAAATGTGTTTGTTCTTACGACTCCTTCTAATTGTTTTTATAAGCACTCAGCTCTTAAAAGAAGCAGCAACAACAACAAACACAAAAGTAACAAAATCAACAGCAGTCACGGCTTTTACAAACACATCACAAACAGCAAAATCAGAAATGGAAATAGGTTCAAATGTAGCACAAACAAGCCTTCCCTCCGTGAACGAAATCACTTCAACTCAACCAAAGTCACCATCTTCAGGATTTTTACAGATACCATCGTCTTCCCAGTCGGGAAAAACAGCACAATTGGTATCTACGACATTACATACAACAACAATAACCCAGAGATTTTCTGCTCCGTCAAGTTTGCAAATCTCCACTGAAAACCGAGCCATACCGACGAGAACGGCGACAGAAATGAACACCACGTCAAGTGTAGACGCAACAACGACCGCCAACTCACATGTACAAAACACTCTCACCTCGTTTTCAACGAGCCGCAGGTCTCAGCCAGAGAGCGTTTTGCCGTCGAGACCCTCTGCAGATCTCAATTCAACACAAAGTAAAGCTTCAAGCTACACAACTGGTGTTCCAAACCTAACGCTGTCTATCAATTCAAGTTACGCAACATCAACGATGTTCTTCACAAACTCAAGTGCCGCCACAACACAAGCTGTGTATTTCATAAGCGATCATTCGCCGAAAGAGAGTTCTACTTTTCCGGTCGCTCTTTCAACTACAGCACAAACAAGCTCTCCCTCTGTGAACAGGATCACCCCAACTCAACAAAAGTCACCATATTCAGGAGTATTCAAGATACCATCGTCTTCCCAGTCGAGACAAACAATAAAATCGACATCTACAACTTTAAATGCAACAACAGCAACCCGAAGATTTTCTCCTTCGTCAAGTTTCCAAATCTCCAGTAACAACCAAACCAGACCAATGAGAACGGCGACAGCAATGAACACCACGTTAAGTGTAGACGCAGGAACAACCGCCGACTCACATGTACAAAACACTCTCACCTCGTTTTCAACGAGCCGCAAGTCTCAGCCAGAGAGCGTTTTGCAGTCGAGACCCTCTGCAGATCTCAATTCAACACAAAGTAAAGCTTCAAGCTACATAACTGGTGTTCCAAACCAAACTCTTTCTATCAATTCAAGTTACAGAACGTCGCTGATGATCCTCACAAACTCAGGCTCTGCTACCACGCAAGCTGTGTATTTTACAAGCGATCATCCGATTAAAGAGAGCTCTTCCCTTCTGGTTGCTCATACAACTACAGATTCTTTCACAAAGCTGACTTCGGCAATCTCAGGTATTAACTTCAGTAGACAGGAGACAGTTCTGACGTTAATAAAACCCTGCCAAATGCTCATAATCAAGCATCGTCTCGTGTGTCTGACTCTTACAACTGATGGCGCCCCTTTTGCCCTCTACGTTGAGGAAGGATACTGTGGGGGAGAGGGTATGCATTATATGCATAATAACCGATAACAAACAGAAAATAACATACTTACCCCTTGTCAAGGGCATCATTTGCACGTCATCGCGATTCCCTGCAGCTAAAAGTATCATTTCGGCCTTTTCCGTAGCAGGGTTTTATTCAAGACCCATGTGAGCTTTAACGCGCGTTAATTTATCACATAGCCACAAACTATCACACAAGGGTGTAGACCGGAGTTTTCTGTGAGGGTGCGCTGCACTTACGTCCTATTGGCAAGTGGCAAGTTAAGACTCGTCAGGATGGTTTTCTCGCAAGTCAAATCCCCCCTCGTACCCCCCACACCTCACATCCTCCCCCCCCCCCCCCTTGGTTAAGCCCATAAACAACGAAATAAAAAAGCCAAACTGTAGGTTGGTCGCCACTTTGAGGTAGAAAACAGGTCAAACGTGTTTTGTCTTGTAAAGTTTCAGTGTCGCTTAACTGGACAGACTGGTCCGTGGACTCAAGTGACTGTCAGCGGCATTGTTCAGACATGGGAGGAACTGTGACTGCGAGTCGTCATTGCTATTCTCATACAGTGACGTTCAAAGAAAGCATCTGTACCAAATACAGAACCTTAACTCAAGCGTTTAAATGCGGCCAACCACATTGTCCAATCTCAGGTTTGTTTGAGCTTCTTTTTTCCAGGATCTAGACTCAGTTCAGCGCAGTCAAACCTTACCTCGAGCCGGCACGTCACCATAAGGAACTCACCACACAGACTTTTCGCAGACAATCGTGCACGAGAGAGCGCTTGGAGATTGGCTCAGGCTTGTTTTCTATGGGATGATAATTTCTTACTTCTCGTGCTCGACTCTGCTGCCTTATGCAATAACACAGCAGATTTATGTTTTCCCAGATTTGCTTTTTTGCGATTCTCTCCCAATTCCCATCTCAATCAAGTTTCTGCTTTCCCTTTCCTCTCTCATGTTTTCCGTATGCTCCCCTTTACTATTCACCAGGGCTCCCGCTATCCTGCCCTCTCCGCTCCTTATCTACAAATGCTACCAGTTGTTCTAAATGGAGAAGGCCGCTCAAAAATAACACAGACGATTACATCTTCCTTTTTAGCCTGGGATTAACTATAATTAGAAAGAAGTACATAGCTATGGCGTTTAGAATCGTCCAAAAATGGAAATAGCGCGGGACTCATTCGAAAGGGAAAGAAAAAATTCAGAAAAAGAAATCATCAAGCTTAATTGCCATGTATTTTATTTTTGGTGGATTTCATGAAATTAAATCTTTATGTTTATTTTGACAGGAACAACATTGTTAGGAGTGTCCATCTCAACAGTGGTAGTCGGGACTTTGCTTCATATGTAAGTTTTAACGTGACACTGTGATGATCTACCGTTTTGTAGCTTTAGGAGGCTTGACTTCGATCATGACGAGAGTTGCCCTCTCTAACTATACCATTTTCTTTCAACAGGTTGCCGAACTTTTTCGGGGGTTAAGACTCCAACGAACTTTATAACGTCAACGTTTGTGTCTTGCTCTCTTAGCATGAGGGTTTACTTTAAATAGTGTGCAAGCGTCATAATCGCAGAGGCGTAGACAAAATGTAGTTTAAATTTCTTAGACTATTTTAAGACCTCTAACGTTTATATTTATAGTATAGTATCAAGAGAATAGTCAAGAAATTATAAATGTCTTGATGGTATAAATGTTTTTATACACTTTATAACGTAAAAAAAAACAAAACAAAAAAAAAACGATGTAGTGCCAGATGGTACTTAGCAAGAGTAAAATAAGTTTTTACATTGAGTCAACAGTTGCCGGGTTATTGTAACGAAGAACAAGAGAAGAAGAAAGCACCAGATCTACTTTTGTTAACCATCCCAACTCATGAACAAAGGAAAACAATCATATTCACTTCAACAGAAAAAAATAAGCCTTAGCTATGATATACGAAGGAACTTCTGAACAAACGTGTGTTCAATACTACGTTGATTTCTCAAAGCCTTAGCAAACGTTCGTGTCTCATTTTACCATAAGGATGAACAGTAGAACATTTAATAAGGTGTATCGTTTCATCGATGTGGGGATGCATTTTAAATGGCACATTGTAAATTCGGCTGTAAAGAAAAAAAAAACATTTGACCCGCCTCGATTAGCATTTGCCATATGCGGGTCAAAGGAATATCTTGTAAATATGTAAGAAAATGAAAAATAAAGGTGTGAAAAGTGTGAAAGTGTGGCACTGTCAGCACTTGATGTTTCAAGGCAGTTTTGGTTTCTGCGATTCAAACAGTGTTGTGTTGTTTGAGAGTCAAACTATTACACGTATTTTGCAAAGAACGCCATCTTTTATTCTTTCCCAGAATCCTTTGTACGTAAATAATTCATGTAAGCTAACATAACATCTCCCCCCTTTTTGATAAAGAGCACAAAGTCTAAAGCAAATCGACAGAGTCTGATAAGTCATGGACACAGCCTAAATCAGCTCTCTTAGCTCAGTGTCTTATGATGCTAAACCTTGATTTTCTCTGACTTTGAGAGATGGTCTTATAACTCGCTTAGGCCTAGTAGCAAGAATAGGTGTTACAGGGGGTACTTGAAAGTCTCTCTTAGAAACAGGAACGTCCTTCCGAATAGGTGTTGCAGCCTTGCTCTCTGCTGGAACTTGTTTCTCCTCTGGGTTTGGTTGTGATTTTCCTGCTGATCTGGCAGTGGGGTTAGGTGAAACGGTTTCTTTTGATCGTGCTGGTTGATGTCATATGACCGGGGTCTTGCTGCTGCTTCGATGACTTTTCCTGAACGCTGAAGGTCCTTCACAAAGACTAGCTTCCGTACCTGGTTCAATAGGACTAGCTTATGACTGCTGTTGAACACTGTTTGTTGCTTCAGCTCGCTCATGCTCGCTCTTTCACGTAGGTTTTCCAGATCAGGTCACTGCGGGTTAAGCTGGGTATGGAACACCGGAACACCGTTCCTTATCTGCCTTCCCATCAGCAACTGGGCAGGAGAGAACTTGCATGCTAGTGGCGTTAATCTGTAGGCCAGTAATCCTTTAGCTGGGTCTCTTTCTTTCGAGAGCAGATTTTTCACGTTTCTAACTCCACGTTCAACCTCTCCGTTTGACGGTAGAAATCTCGGACTACTGGTTGTATGCTTGAATCCCCACTCTTTGGCAAAGTATGAGAATTCTACATTGTCAAATTGAGGACCATTGTCGGATCGCACTTGTTGGAGGATGCCATGTCTGGTAAGTATCGACTTAGGTGTGCTTGTGACCTCGCTTGACTTTATCGTCTTCTTCATGGCTGCTACTTCTACGTACCTTGAGAAGTAGTCTATTACAATCAGGTAGTCGATGCCTTTCAGCTCGAAGAGGTCTGTGGCTACGACTTGCCAGGGGCGGTCTGGTAAGGGTGTTACTATAAGCGGTTCGGGTTTGTTTTCCTTACCTTACATTGTTGATCCAGATCCTGGATTTCTCTACTAAGTCTGAGACAGGCCGCGATGTGAAAATGCTTTATATGTGTGCGTACATTTCAATTGTAGACTGAGCTGTTTGGTTTCTGGCTTAGAGTCTTGAAAGTGTATCAGCTATGTACATCTTCTTTCCAGGAACGTGCTTAATCTCTTTAAAGTGGAATCTCATCGGTCGCATTCTGAATCGCTGGATCCTCGGTGGGAGTTGATCCAGTGTGTGCCCACTCGGTAGTGCTACGAAGGGTTCATGGTCCGCTTCCGCAAAGATCGACTCTCCCACGATGTACTTCCACGATCGTTCACATACCCATGTGAGCGCTGAGGCCTCCTTTTCTATCTGCACCTATCTGGTCTCGGTGGGAGTCATCGCTCTCGACGTGAAGGAAACTGGTCGCCAGGAGTTGTCTGGTTAGAGCTGAAGAAATACTCCGCCTAAGCCATAGGATTCGGCATCAACTGCTATCTTGGTCATATAGCGCCAGTACTGAAACTGAAATGCCTTTTTTTGCTCAGTTCCCCATGTCCACTGATTCCCTTTGCAAAGGAGATCCCTGATGCTCTTTGTCTTGTCAGCAAGATGCTCAGAAAACTTGCTCAATTGGTTTACCATGCCCAGAAATGTTCTCTATGATTCTTGCACGTTCTGTGGTGGCGGAAGATCTGCAATTGCTTGCAGCTTGTGATGATCCTCCTCAATTCCACGGGAGCTGATGACGTGCCCGAGGAACTTAAGTCTGCCTGTTCAGCACAGACAAAGTTAAGTTTCTCGGGCACATTATCAGCTCCCTTGGAATTGTTTAAAAAAATTATTAAAAACTTATTGAAAAAAAAATTAATCAACGCTCGAAAAAAATTAATCAACGCACCAGTCTCTGGTCGTCCGCCTGAACTGACTAAATGAAGTTTAGTCAACAGAGTTTGTCAGCAGATGACATTGTCATCGCTGGTATATCGCTGAACGACCTCGCTGAACAAGAAAGGCCGCCTTCCCTTCGTTATGTAAGTAACCATTTCTTGTTTGACACATCAGTGCGACTTGCAGTCAGCTTACATGAATAGATTCTGCGACATTGACCACTGTAAGGATAACGGTCTTGTTCGCCATCATAAGGGACTCTTGCGTTCTTCTTTGATTCAGGCCGCTAGTTCTTCTCAGCCATCTTCTCTAAGGCTATAATTCCTCACTTTAATTTTCTTTTGAGGCAGCCTATCTCTCCCAGCAGCCTTTTTGGACTGCTGCTTTGAAGGTCTACGCTGAACTTCTGTTCGCCTTCCTATTAGGGCGAACTAATCACGCTCGGGAGAGTCCCGCGCTGGAATATGATCAGGGTCCTGATCTCTTGTGGCTTTAAAACGCTGAGGAGAGCTGGGGCGAACTCTCCCAGGAGTTGGACTACGGAAACTTTCTTCTTCGTCCAAAATCTTCCAAATTTCTTGCAACGACGCTTGGCCTTCCGAAGGTGACGTAAACAGTGGTTGATGGTAAACTGGCGAAGACGCCCACTAATTGGCTGGTGGAAGAGTCACACGACTATCTACCGGAGCGCTGTCTTTTTTATTCGTATCACGAGATACTACATGTTGTGATTCCAATAGCACTAGTACTTTTCCATCTGCACAAAACATAAGTCACTGCATAAGACAAGCACATATCTTGACTTCAACTTTTTTACGAGAGAGTGCAAGTACATAACGAAGCTTGGAGAAGAGAGGATAAGGTAAATTTTATGTTGGGTCATTCAATAGTTCTTTTGTGTTCAGTGTGGTACAAAAAAAGTCTGTATCGTCCATAAGGATTCGACTCCCTGACACGAGGCTTCCCTACATCGGATGCTCTACCTCTAAGCTATTAGGAATAGGGTTGATACCAGGCCTCATTTCAGCTTGATATCCTTTTAGCATGGTACTTAAATGAACCCCTACAATAATTCGTTTTTACATATTATTTACTATTAATAATAAAGTGCATAAAGAAAGAAAGAGAATATCCTTTCACAATCACACAACATCGATAAAAAAAAAAAAAATTTACACCCGCCATCATTAGAATTAATTGAACTTGAGGCATCTAACCAATTACTTTTTAGGTCAATTACCGTAAGCTGAATAAATTTCTCGGAAACTGAAAAAGGAAAAATATATAGAGACTGTCGCTAAACACCCGCGCGAAAGAGGATCGAAGTTTATATAAAAGAGGCGTCTTTCTGAGGTAAGACTACTATATTCAAAATAACTTTTTTTGTAAAAGTCAGTGTGAATGTAAGGAATACCAACGTTGAAGACTGGTTTAAAGAATATTAGTTTGCTTTAATAACATATTAATATCATTTAAATCATTACGCATAAGTAGAAGATACGAATTTTTGCAGTAACAGTAATTTTCTCCAAAGCAACTTAAAATCCAAACTGAGTTGCTACTTTGGCGCTTCGTTTTCAATTACATTAAAAACTTGAGGGGCAATTTTTTTCACGATTTCAAAACCACCAGTACTAAACCTTCGAAAGCGCTCACGAGATGAATAAGGAAGTCGTGTAATTGAAAACACGCAAAAGGACTCGGTCCGGCGAAAGAGGAGTTAAACCTGTAGCACGCGGTTTTCGTAGGCGACCAGTTGCCGACCCGATGCTTCCATGGCCAAATACATACATCTGAAACATCTTAGTCCAAAGAGCCATATGGGAAATGGAATACCGTCTGAGTTTTTTCCTGCGTTGATCTTGACAGACAATCTACAAATATTCTTAGACCGTAAAGTACCAACAATCCTCGCCGTATTTTCTTATGTGTTGAGCAGAAAAATGCAGCGTCAAGGTTAAAATAGAATTATTTATTTTGTGTGAATTATCGGAAAAAGTCTCAGATAGACCTTTTATGTAAGATTCGACGCCAAAACGAAAGTATTAAATACATACTTAATGCTGAGGTAGATGTATAAAATGTAGCTACGCTTATGCGCTCTGCGCAGCGTTGTTTACTTTTCAACCAGCAAAAATGCCTCCCGCTTCCGATTCATGAATCATATTCATATTTCAGTCCAGATTTTGATATCAATCACTATATATAATACATTTTGAGGATTTCCTTTAAAATTTATGCGCTAAAGCCGCTTTAGTTTCAAATAATTTTAAGTCACGAAACCAGTTAATTATTGGTGGCAAAAATATTGGCCACTTTCCATTTTTTTACCGGTAATAATTTTAAAAGTTGAATATAATTAAATTACAATTGTCAGTGTGTTTTGTTTGGGGCTTCTCAAAGCAACAAAACCATAGCAGTGTGTATTTTGAGCGGAGCAATTTCGTTTGTTAAACGGATTTCCATAAAGCTCTGCTTCGTGCGCAGAGAGTGGCTGTAAGTTTGAAATCATAATTAATAGTTTTTTTCCATAGCGAATCATCTCAAAATGTCAATTTTATTGACGCATTCGTTGGAATTTTATGGTGATTAGATAAATAACACCTTATGAAGTTAAACTACTGCTTCACTGGCCGTTAATCATAGCTTCCGCAATGCTCCGAGCTATGCAAGTTAACATCAATAACCCAATCCTAAATTGAACAAAGCGATATTTCCAAAATTACCGACGTGTGAAGCTTCATTACTACAATTTCAAAGGCGAAACATTCAAAAAAACTTTATAGGTTCTCTTCAAAATGAGCGATGAAGTCTAAGCCTATATTTTAAAAAGTTCAAGATGACTTGATGGGAACTCTAAAAACGTAGTGAGAAATTCAGTTGGAAGGTGATATATTTTTATCACTTCACTTGCGACAGGCAAACATACTTTCGTTATAACTAACGGAGAGACGGAAGCGGAGACACGGAGGTTCTTGAAAACGCAGGTGACTGTGATCTATTTAACAGTTCTACAGTGTGACTAGACAACTGTCGATACAATATTCTTTCAGCAAATTTGTTTAGTGGGAAACACTCTTTTTTGGCAGCACGAAATAACTTGAACCATAAAGCAGTTAGCTTTTCATCGAAATATCGTGGTGATAGACAAGTTTTCGTGAATACACAGGCGGGAAATGCTCGCACGTCATATGTTTTATGTTTTGGTAGCATTACCCCGGCAACAGATGGTAACAGAGTTACAAACTTCATCAAGAATACATATTATAGAGACACCTAGAAAACGCATTTAAGAATGACGCAAGTGTCCGTCTCCGCCGACAAAAAGCCATCAATCAACTTTTGCGCGCACAATTTTTTTTTTCGTGGAAAATTCTAAGCGGCTGCCCTTAACAACATCATCGAATATTTACAAAATATTTGATATAAAGCTGAAAGAAAGGTGCCCAAAGAAAAGGGATAACTTGATACTGTAAATTCGCTCAAATGTTTCATGGACACAATAATTGTTAATGTAAATCGGCCACCGTGGAGAATTTACGAAGCCAACGTTTCAAGAGTTAGCCCTTCGTCAGAGCGACATTAATCGGAAGTTTAGTTAAGCATCAAAATCGCATCGATAAGAAAAAAATTAAAGTGCTCTATGAGCAAACTCGTGAATTGACAGATGACCTACATGATTATTTGGATTATGTTTAAGGAAAGCAAGGAAAAAGAACACCTACTGTTGTACTTGGACTGTTTTTCGGTGAAAAAAAAAGCCCACAAAATAGATCGAGTTGTAACAGGGGGTGAACTTGTCAAATAAAACTAAATCGTATCGATCATGTCTGGTTCTCGTGAATTTGCACGCATTCAAGACTACGCTTAAAATGAAATGTCGTTGAGTCTAGGAGCAGTTATGGGAAATGGAAAAAAAAGGAATGACGAGTAGGGTATGATGGGAAATTGCGAATGGGACAATGAGACGTAGGAAATGAGAAACGAAAAGTGGGAAATGAGAGACGGAAAAGGAAAATATAGAAGACGCCAAAATTGATAATTAGGAAAACTAAGAATTGTATGTTGAACAATAAGAAGAATTAATAATGAGATTTTGGGAGTGAAAGGGTTAATGTCAATGTTTCAAATACCGATAAGGGTGCCTCGATGATAAAATGATTAAAAAACGCTATGCTTTCTGTGTATTGCATTGTGTTGTTACTTGTGCGGGGTTAACTAAAAAATTTTTCTTTCTCTCTCATTATCAATGCACAGGTTACCGTCAAAATGTGTTTGTTCTTACGACTCCTTCTAATTGTTTTTATAAGCACTCAGCTCTTAAAAGAAGCAGCAACAACAACAAACACAAAAGTAACAAAATCAACAGCAGTCACGACTTTTACAAACACATCACAAACAGCAAAATCAGAAATGGAAATAGGTACAAATGTAGCACAAACAAGCCTTCCCTCCGTGAACGAAATCACTTCAACTCAACCAAAGTCACCATCTTCAGGATTTTTACAGATACCATCGTCTTCCCAGTCGGGAAAAACAGCACAATTGGTATCTACGACAATACATACAACAACAATAACCCAGAGATTTTCTGCTCCGTCAAGTTTGCAAATCTCCACTGAAAACCGAACCATACCGACGAGAACGGCGACAGAAATGAACACCACGTCAAGTGTAAACACAGCAACAACCGCTTTCCCACATATACATAACACTCTCATCTCGTCTTCAACGAGCTGCAAGTCCCGGCCAGAGAGTGTTTCGCAGTCGACACCCTCTGCAGATCTCAATGCAACACAAAGTAAAGCGTCAAGCTACATAACTGGTGTTCCAAACCCAACGCTGTCTATCAATTCAAGTTACGCAACGTCGCTAATGATCTTCCCAAGCTCAAACGCCACCACAACTCAAGCCGTACATTTTACAAGCGATCATTCGACGAAAGAGTCTTCTTCTCTTCTGGTCGCTCCTCTAACTACAGCACAGACAAGCTCTCTCTCCGTGAAAGATATAACCACAACTCAACGAAACGCACAATCTTCAGTCGTATTACATATACCATCGTCTTTCCAGTCGGGAAAAACAACACAGTCGGCATCTCCAACAATAAATGCAACAACAGCAGGCCAAAGACTTTCTCCTTCGTCAGGTTTTCAAATCTCCAGTAACAACCAAACCACAATGAACACCACGTCAAGTGTAGACGCAAGAACAAACGCCGTCTCAAACGCACAAAACGCTCTCATCTCGTTTTCAATGAGCCGCAAGTCCCGGCTAAAGAGTGTTTTACAGTCGACGCCCTTCGCAGATCTCAATGCAACACGACGTAAAGCTTCAGGCTACACAACTGGTGATCTTAACCGGACGCTGTCTCTCCATTCAAGTTACGCAATGTCACCTATGACATTCACAAAGTCAGGCGCCGCAAAAACTCAAGCAGTGTATTTCACAAGCGATCATACAATAAAAGAGAGTTCTTACCTTCTGTTCGCTCCTTCAACTACAGCATCAGAAAACTCTCCCTCCGTGAAAAGCACCACCTCAACCCAACAAAAGTCATCATCTTCAGGAGTATTACAGATACCATCGTCTTCCCAGTCGGGAAAAACAACACAATCGGCATCTACAACAACAAATGCAACAACAGCAACCCAAACATTTTCTTTTCGGTCAAGTTTCCAAATTTCCAGTAACAACCAAACTAGACCGATGACAACCGCAACCGCAATGAACACCACGTCAAGTGTAGACGCAGGAACAAACGCCGTCTCACATGTACAAAATACTCTCATCTCGTTTTCAATGAGCCACAAGTCCCGGCCAAAGAGTGTTTTACAGTCGACACCCTTCGGAGATCTCAATGTAACACAAAGTAAAGCTTCAAGCTACACAACAAGTGTTCTTAACCGGACGCTGTCTCTCCATTCAAGTTACGCAATGTCGCCTATGACCTTCACAAAGTCAGATGCCGGCACAACTCAAGCCGTGTATTTCACTAGCGATCATACGTTGAAAGAGAGTTCCCCACTTCTGGTCGCTCCTTCAACTACAGCATCAAAAAGCTCTCCTTCCGTGAACGGTACCACCACAACTCAACAAAAGTCATCATCTTCAGGAGTATTACAGATACTATCGTTTTTCCAGTCGGGACAAACAACAAAATCGGCATCTACAACAATAAATGCAACAACAGCAACCCAAAGATTTTCTCCTTCGTCAAGTTTCCAAATCTCCAGTAACAACCGAAGCAGATCGATGACAACGGCAACCGCAATGAACACCACGTCAAGTGTAGACGCAGGAACAAACGCCGTCTCACATGTACAAAATATTCTCATCTCGTTTTCAATGAGCCGCAAGTCCCGGCCAAAGAGTGTTTTACAGTCGACACCCTTCGAAGATCTCAATACAACACAAAGTAAAGCTTCAAGCTACACAACTGGTGTTCTTAACCGGACACTGTCTCTCCATTCAGGTTACGCAATGTCGCCTATGACCTTCACAAAGTCAGGCGCCGGCACAACTCAAGCCGTGTATTTCACAAGCGATCATGCGTTGAAAGAGAGTTCTTCCCTTCTGGTCACTCCCCCAACTACAGCATCAAAAAGCTATCCCTCCGTGAACGGCACCATCCCAACTCAACAAAAGTCATCATCTTCAGGAGTATTACAGATATCATCGTCTTTGCAGTCGGGACAATCAACACAATCGGTATCTACGACAATAAATGCAACAACAGCAACCCAAACATTTTCTCCCTCGTCAAGTTTCCAAATCTCTAGTAACAACCAAAGCAGACCAATGACAACAGCAACCGCAATGAACACCACGTCAAGTGTAGACGCAGGAACAAACGTCGTCTCACAAGTACCAAACACTCTTATCTCGTTTTCAATGAGCCGCAAGTCTCGGCCAAAGAGTGTTTTACAGTTGACACCATTCGCAGATCTCAATGCAATACAAAGTAAAGCTTCAAGTTACACAACTGGTGTTCTTAACCGGACGCTGTCTCTCCCTTCAAGTTACGCGATATCGCCTTTGACCTTCACAAAGTCAGGCGCCGAAACAACTCAAGTTGTGTATTTCACAAGCGATCATACAATAAAAGAGAGTTCTTACCTTCTGATCACTCCTTCAACTACAGCATTAGAAAACTCTCCCTCCGTGAACGGCACCACCCCAAGTCAACAAAAGTCATCATCTTCAGGAGCATTACAGATACCATCGTCTTCCCGGTCGGGACAAACAACACAATCGGCATCTACAACAACAAATGCAACAACAGCAACCCGAACATTTTCTTTTCGGTCAAGTTTTCAAATTTCTAGTAACAACCAAACTAGACCGATGACAACCGCAACCGCAATGAACACCACGTCAAGTGTAGACGCAGGAACAAACGCCGTCTCACATGTACAAAATACTCTCATCTCGTTTTCAATGAGCCACAAGTCCCGGCCAAAGAGTGTTTTACAGTCGACACCCTTCGGAGATCTCAATGCAACACAAAGTAAAGCTTCAAGCTACACAACAAGTGTTCTTAACCGGACGCTGTCTCTCCATTCAAGTTACGCAATGTCGCCTATGACCTTCACAAAGTCAGGCGCCGGCACAACTCAAGCCGTGTATTTCACAAGCGATCATACGATGAAAGAGAGTTTTCCCCTTCTGGTCGCTCCCCCAACTACAGCATCAAAAAGCTCTCCCTCCGTGAACCGGACCCCCACAACTCAACAAAAGTCATCATCTTCAGGAGTATTACAGATACCATCGTCTTTCCAGTCCGGAGAAAAAGCACAATCAGCATCTACAACAATAAATGCAACAACAGCAACCCAAAGATTTTCTCCTTCGTCAAGTTTCCAAATCTCCAGTAACAACCGAAGCAGATCGATGACAACGGCAACCGCAATGAACACCACGTCAAGTGTAGACGCAGGAACAAACGCCGTCTCACATGTACAAAATATTCTCATCTCGTTTTCAATGAGCCACAAGTCCCGGCCAAAGAGTGTTTTACAGTCGACACCCTTCGAAGATCTCAATACAACACAAAGTAAAGCTTCAAGCTACACAACTGGTGTTCTTAACCGGACACTGTCTCTCCATTCAAGTTACGCAATGTCACCTATGACCTTCACAAAGTCAGGCGCCGGCACAACTCAATCCGTGTATTTCACAAGCGATCATGCGTTGAAAGAGAGTTCTTCCCTTCTGGTCGCTCCCCCAACTACAGCATCAAAAAGCTCTCCCTCCGTGAACGGCACAGTCCCAACTCAACAAAAGTCATCATCTTCAGGAGTATTACAGATATCATCGTCTTTGCAGTCGGGACAAACAACACAATCAGCATCTACAACAATAAATGCAACAACAGCAACCCAAACATTTTCTCCCTCGTCAAGTTTCCAAATCTCTAGTAACAACCAAAGCAGACCAATGACAACAGCAACCGCAATGAACACCACGTCAAGTGTAGACGCAGGAACAAATGCCGTCTCACAAGTACCAAACACTCTTATCTCGTTTTCAATGAGCCGCAAGTCTCGGCCAAAGAGTGTTTTACAGTTGACACCATTCGCAGATCTCAATGCAATACAAAGTAAAGCTTCAAGTTACACAACTGGTGTTCTTAACCGGACACTGTCTCTCCCTTCAAGTTACGCGATATCGCCTTTGACCTTCACAAAGTCAGGCGCCGAAACAACTCAAGTTGTGTACTTCACAAGCGATCATACGATGAAAGAGAGTTCTTCCCTTCTGGTCGCTCCCCCAACTACAGCATCAAAAAGCTCTCCCTCCGTGAACGGCACCATCCCAACTCAACAAAAGTCATCATCTTCAGGAGTATTACAGATACCATCGTCTTTCCAGTCGGGACAAACAACACAATCGGCATCTACAACAATAAATGCAACAGCAACCCAAAGATTTTCTCCTTTGTCAAGTTTTCAAATCTCCAGTAACAACCAAACCAGACCAATGAGAAAGGCGACAGCAATGAACACCACGCCAGTTGTAGACGCAGGAACAACCGTCGTCTCACATGTACCAAACACTCTTATCTCGTTTTCAATGAGCCGCAAGTCTCAGCCAGATAGCATTTTGCAGTCGAGAACCTCTGCAGATCTCAATGCAACACAAAGTAAAGCTTCAAGCTACACAACTGGTGTTCCAAACCTAACGCTGTCTATCAATTCAAGTTACGCAACATCAACGATGTTCTTCACAAACTCAAGTGCCGCCACAACACAAGCTGTGTATTTCGTAAGCGATCATTCGCCGAAAGAGAGTTCTACTTTTCCGGTCGCTCTTTCAACTACAGCACAAACAAGCTCTCCCTCTGTGAACAGGATCACCCCAACTCAACAAAAGTCACCATATTCAAGAGTATTAAAGATACCATCGTCTTCCCAGTCGAGACAAACAACACAATCGATATCTACAACTTTAAATGCAACAACAGCAACCCAAAGATTTTCTCCTTCGTCAAGTTTCCAAATCTCCAGTAACAACCAAACCAGACCAATGAGAACGGCGACAGCAATGAACACCACGTTAAGTGTAGACGCAGGAACAACCGCCGACTCACATGTACAAAACACTCTCACCTCGTTTTCAACGAGCCGCAAGTCTCAGCCAGAGAGCGTTTTGCAGTCGAGACCCTCTGCAGATCCCAATGCAACACAAAGTAAAGCTCCAAACCACACAGCTGGTGTTCCAAACCGAACGCTGTCTATCAATTTAAGTTACACAACATCCCCATTGATCTTCACAAACTCAGGCGCTGCAACAACTCAGGTCTTGTATTTCACAGGCAATCATTTGACGAAAGAGAGTTCTTCCCTTCTGGTCGCTCCTTCTACTACAGCACAAACAAGCTTTACCCCCGTGAATGGTATCACCCCAACTCAACAAAAGTCTTCATCTTCACGAGTATTACAGATACAGTCTTCTTCTCAGTCGGGACAGGGGAACATCGACGCAGGAACAACCGCCGTCCCACATGTACAAAACACTCTCATCTCGTTTTCAACGAGCCGCAAGTCCCAGCCACAGAGTATTTTGCAGTCGGCACCCTCTGCAGATCTCAATGCAACACAAAGTAAAGCCTCAAGTTACACAACTGGTATTCCAAACCGAAAGCTGTCTATTAATTCAAGTTACGCAACGTCGACGATGATCTTCTCAAACACAGGCGCCACCACAACTCAAGCCGTGTACTTCACAAGCAATCATTTGACGAAAGAGAGTTCTTCCCTTCTGGCCGCTCCTTTAACTACAGCACAAGCAAGCTCTCCCTCTGTGAACGGTATCACCCCAACTCAACTAAAGTCACCATCTTTAGGTGTGTTACAGAGACCACTGTCTTCCCGGTGGGGACAAACAATACAATTGTTATCTACGACATTAAACCGAAAGCTGTCTATCAATTCAAGTTACGGAACGTCGCTGATAATCTTCAAAAACTTGGGCTCCGCTACAACTCAAGCTACGTATTTCAGAAGCGATCATTCGACGAAAGAGAGTTCTTTACTTCTGGTCGCTCCTACAACTACAGCTTCTTCCACAAAGCTGACCTCGACAATCTCAGGTATTAACTTCAGTAGGTAGGAGACAATTCTGACATGGATAAAACCCTACCAAACCTTCATAATCAAGTATTGTCTGGTGTGTCAGACTCTTACAACTGTTGGCGCCCTTCTTGTCCTCTACGTTGAAGAGAGGTACCGTGGGGGAGGGGGTATGCATAATGTGCATAATAACCGATAACAAACAGAAAATAGCATAGTTACCCCAGTTCAAGGGCATCATTTGCACCCCATTGCGCTTCTCTACGGCAAAAAGCTATCACACAAGGGTGTACACCAGAGTTTTCTGTGAGGGTGCGCTTACGACCTATTGGCAAGTTAAGACACGCCGGGATGATTTTCTCGAGAAAGGAGCAAGTCACATGCCTCCTCGTACCCCTACCTCACCTCCTTCTTCCCCTCCCCTTAGTTAAGCCCATACACAACAAAAAAACAAGCCAAACTGAAGGTTGTTCGCCGCTTTGAGGTAGAAAACAGGTCAAACTTGTTTTGTCTTGTAAAGTTTCAGTGTCGCTTAACTGGACAGACTGGTCCGTGGACTCAAGTGACTGTCAGCGGCACTGTTCAAATGTGGGAGGAACTGTGACTGCGAGTCGTCATTGCTATTCTCATACAGTGACGTTCAAAGAAAGCATCTGTACCAAATACAGAACCTTAACTCAAGTGTTTAAATGTGGCCAACCACATTGTCCAATCTCAGGTTTGTTTGAGCTTCTTTTTTCCAGGATCTAAACTCAGTTCAGCGCAGTCAAACCTTACCTCGAGCTAGCACGTCACAAAGAGGAACTCACCACACAGGCTTTTCGCAGACAATTATGCACGAGAGAGCCTGGAGATGGCTTAGGTTTGTTTACAATGGGGTGATAATTCATTACTTCTCGTGCCCGACTCTCCCGCCTTTCGCAATAACACAGCAGATTTATGTTTGCCCAGAGTTGCTTTTTTGCGATTCTCTCACAATTACCTCCTCAATTAAGTTTCTGCTTTCCCTTTCCTCTCCCCTGTTTTCCGTATACTCCCCTCTACTATTCACCAGGGCTCCCGCTCTCCTGCCCCCATCTACAAATGCTACCAGTCGTTCAAACCGTAGAAGGCCGCTCAAAAATTACATAGACAATTACATCTACCTTTTCAGCCTAGGCTTAAATAGAAATAAAAAGAAGTACATAGCGTTAAGAATCGTCTAAAAATGTGAATAGTTCTGGACCCATTCGAACGGGAAAGAAAAAATTCAGAAAAAGGACTCATCAAGCTTAATTTCTACGTATTTGATTTTTGGTGGATTTCATGAAATTAAATCTTTGTTTATTTTCACAGGAACAACATTGTTAGGATTGTCCATCTCAACAGTGGTAGTCGGGACTTTGCTTCATATGTAAGTTTCAACGTGACACTGTGATGATCTACCGTTTTGTAGCTTTAGGAGGCTTGACTTTGATCATGACGAGCGTTGCCCTCTCTAACTATACCATTTTCTTTCAACAGGTTGCCGAACTTTTTCGGGGGTTAAGACTTCAACGAACTTTATAACGTCAACGTTTGTGTCTTGCTCTCTTAGCATGAGGGTTTGCTTTAAAGAGTGTGGGAGAGTCATGATCGCAGAGGCGTAGACAAAATGTAGTTTAAATTTCTTAGACTATTTTAAGACCTCTAACGTTTATATTTATAGTATAGTATCATGAGAATAGTCAAGAGATTACAAATGTCTTGATGGTATAAATGTTTTTATACGCTTTATAAAAAAACGATGTAGTGCTAGATGATACTTAGCAAGAAAAAAATAAGTTTTTACATTGAGTCAATAGTTACCGAGTTATTGTAACGTGCAAAAAGAGAAGAGAAAACACCAAATCTACTTCTGTTAACCATCCCAATTCATGAAGAAAGGGAAACAATCATATTCACTTCAACAGAAAAAAATGAGCCTTAGCTATGGACGGAACGTCTGAACATACAAGTATTCAATACTACGATGATTTCTCAAGGCCAGTTCACGTATATCAAACGTTAATGTCTCATTTTACCATGAGGATAAAGAGTGTAGGGATGCATTTTGACTAGCACATTGTAATACTCGGCACTGTCAGAAATTGATGTTTCAAGGCGGTTTTTGTCTCTAAGGTTCAAACCGGTGTTCTGAAGCTTAACGATCATTAAATTCCATGTTCTTAGAGCGACGAATTTCTCCTCTGATCGAGTGCGACTTGCAGTCAGCTTACATAAATAGATTCTGCAACATCTACCACTCTAAGGACAACGATCTTGTTCGCCATCATGAGGGACTCTTGCATTCGTCTTTGATTCAGGAAACTAGTTCTTCTCAGCCATCGTCTCTAATGTTATAATTCCTCACTTTAATTTTCTTTTGAGCCAGCCTACCTTTGCCAGCAGCCTTTTTGGACAATTCTGGTCGCTGCATTGAAGGTCTACTTTGAACTTCCGTTCGCCTTCCTTTTAGGGCGAACGAATCACGCTCGGGAGAGTCCCGCTCTGGAATATGATCAGGGTCCTGGTCCCTTGTGGCTTTAAGACGCTCAGGAGAGCTGGGGCGAACTCTCCTGGGAGTTGGACTACGGAAACTTTCTTCTTCGTCCAACATCTTCCAAATTTCTTGCAACGACGCTTGGCCTTCCGAAGATGACGTAAACAGCGGTTGATCGTAAACTGGCGAAGACGTCCACTGATTGGCTGGTGGATGAGTCACATTACTATCCACTGGAGCACTGTCTTTCTTATTTGTCTCACGAGATACTACATGTTGTGATTCCAATAGCACTGGTACTTTTCCATCTGCACAAAACATAAGTGACTGCATGAGACAAGCGCATATCTTTACTTTTTTACGATAGGGTGAAAGAAAATAGGGCAAGTCGAAGAGGGGATAAATTAAATGTTATGTTTTACCCGACATTTACAAGTAATATCGCAATCTGATTGGCTAATTTGCCGTTGTCGAAGAGAGTACAGACAACGCTGCTCGCGTCAACGTGTCACGCAACATGTCACACACTAACAGAATCGTTTCATTTGACGTCGATATTGTGATAAAATTTTGTTGCAGACTCACACAGCTGCGCCTCGTGAGTCTACATCATTTTGACCACTGTGAAGACGAATATCGCTGTCAATAAGAGTACAGAACACGCAAAACCAGTGTCGATTTGCTAACTGAGTCACTGAATAGTTCTTTTGTGTTGATTGTGGTACAATAAAAGTCTTCATCACCCATGACGATTCGACTCCCTGACACGAGCCTTCTCCACACTGGATGTTCTACCACAGAGCTATTGGATATCGGGTTGATACCAGGCCTCATTTCAGCTTGATATCCTTTTAGCACGGTACTTAAATGAATTCTTACCATGATACGTTTCTATATATAATATTTACTAATAAGGATAAGGTGCATCTTAAAGAAAGAAAGAGAATATCCTCTCAAAATCACACAACATCGATAAAAAAATCTACACTCACCATCATTAGAATCACTTGAACTTGAGGCTACAGTGATTTTGACATGCTCAGCTGCTTGCTGTTCTTTTAGAGCCATACGCTGTGCAAACTGGAGCTCCTGAGAAGTGAGCTGGTATTGAAGGTTTTCCACAGCACCTAATTGGCTCTGTAAATGGTCCTTCATCTCACCTGGGGTCCTTCCGATAGGGGTCTTTCCTGAAGAGGCTTCAGTGACTAAGGGCTGAGGGGGCTGGCTGATTATACGGCCAAGGGGAGCGCTCTTTCGACCATCTGACAATTGGCAGAGAACGATTGAATGTATTTCAGTTTGGTTTAAATATTCACGTTGAGAACATTGCTGAGATCAAGACGCTACATCCGGGACTATTAAGGCGAAAAATCGGGATTCCGAGAGAATCCATACGGCATGAATCACACACAGCTCATGGAACAACAGAAACAGTATGGATGTCGTCGACATGACAGTTGGGTAGTATGTCTGGGTGTGACATAGTGTGACTATATCAATGTTAGTATCTGTGTAACTGCGCGCCCACCCCTCCCCTAGCCCAACAACAGTCAACTGATATTAAGTCAGGGTTAATGTTGGGTAAGGAAGGGGGGGGGGGGTAGGTGCGGAGTTGCTCAGATACTGTCATGGATACGTGCAACTCCACCTGCCTTTGAAGAAATCCCAGTTAGGCACCTGGCATGAAATGATCAGGAGTTTTGCCGCTCCCCCTTAATGTAGGAATCATGTTTTATGGCAGATTTCTTCTTGTCATTTCTTACTTTTTTCCTGATAAACTACTGGGGTCCGTTTAAACCCTTAAGTGGAGAGAGGCGCTGTGAGAAAAAACTGTTTTGGCCGAGAAAACAGCCCAATGACCTAGGTAGGAGTCGACCCAGGCTCTCGTGTTCAAACCGCTAACCGTAACCACCTGGTCTCCTACAAACGTAGTCTTTTAACCCTTTAACCCCTAGGAGTGACCAGCTTCTAATTTCTCCTTACAATATCACCCCTGAATCAAACATTAAGGTCACGAGAATCAAGGAAATGATTACCAACTCATAAAGCTCTTAATTTATAAACAAATTCTCCTTGTCAGTACTTCAGGAAATGTATAGAGAACAGTATGGAGAATATGCATACTGATGTTAGGGTGTTAGGGGTTAATTTAACTTTAAAACCTTTCTGCACGAGAGAAAACTGATCATCTGTCCTCTTTCAAAAGATCATCTTAAGTTCTCTTCAACCAAAACTGATTTTTACGACGACAATTCAACGTCTCCAGCGTTTGTAGCATTCAGTCAAAAGGGATTATGAACAGACTTGAAGGTTACCTGTATATTTTGCAAGCTCCGCTCTGAGCCTGTTTCCCATCTGAATAAGCTGTTCTTTTTCTTGAGACATTCGGCTGATGCGCCGCGCCGCCTCATGTAATTTGTTTTGTAGCCGCGCCATTTGAGATATTGACGGTCGAATAAGAGAAACTGGATCAAGGAAATCTTTGTCGCTTGTTTGAGCACCTGATTATAATAGGATGCAATATATGCTAATATCAAAGGCAGTTCTGTTTGTTTTTTCAAAGCCTTATCAAGAATAAGAGTTTGCTGAAACCCTACAACATTTAAAACGGAAACTACTAAAATAAACAAAAATCATTATTCACTTGGAGAAGTAACTCTATAAACACGATTAGACAAACACGCATACACCCTCCTTACACCCCTCATCTCCAACTTGTATCCCTCCATGGTTTGCCGAAGCCAGGTCGCATTGTAACCTTCAGACTGCTCGCAGACCAGGTCGCATTGTAAACCTTAGACTGCTGGCATATCTTACCTGTTGTGGGTTGTTTCCTCAATCGATGAATCTCATCTTGAAGTTGTTTAATGATTTCTGCCTGAGGATTGAATGACACAGCTCCTCTCCCTTGAGATGCAAGTTCGACTTTAAGACTTGACAGCTATTAGCCGAAAGAAATTAGCAAAAATATCAACTGGCCACCGTAAAGCGTTTAAAGGTTGACGTTCCGAGCGTTAGCCCTTCGTCAATCGCTCCGACGAAGGGCTAACGCGCGAAACGTCAGCCTTTAAACTCTTTACGGTGGCCAATTTACGCTTTCAACTCAGTTGATGAAACTAAATTACCCTGTTATACTCTCCCAATGACACAGTGTACCACAGTTTCTTTAGAAACCTACTCCCTTAAGCAGAAACATCGATAAGTTGAAGAAAAAGCAGCGACGATGGACGGGGGGAGGGGGAGTGGCAGAACTCGCAGTCGCGGATTGTACCATAAACATGAGTTACTTTGAGAAATTTGCGGCTTAACACTTTTAGTTATTTTCAAATCACCTGATTTCCTAAGGACGTTGCCTCAGCATTCCGTTCCAGCCCACTCCTGAAGTACTCATCCGCCTCTCTTCTTGTCTGGGTCAGTTGCAGCTCCAGCTCATTTGCGCGCTGTTTCAGAGCAGTCAGCTCATCAGTCGCTCGCCTGCTCTGTGTCGTAAGTTCGTACTGTAGCTGATCCATTGCTAACTGTTTCTGGCGAACCTGCCAAAAGACAAGAAATGATCTGTTCAGCCACATCTTTGTGAAGGACACTGCACGAAGTTTTCGAACAGAAAGTTACTTCCAAGTTGAACATCATCCCAAGGAGGAGAGTTTAGTTGCAGAAAAATGACTGGAAATAAGCGGAGAGTGACTCTTAGAGCCTGGATCAAAGTAATGTCTATCTCGAAGAGGTCTTCACTGTTTTGAGTTACCTCCTCGTGCATTTGAGTCAGAGATCCCTGCAGATGATCCACAGTGCCTTGAAGTTTCTTCACTTGTGTTGACAGCTCCAGTTTTTCCTGGCGTAAAGCACCTGATTAACAACAACACAAATACGTACAGGTATTTCTAAGCTCTAGGAGAAAATAACACTTATTCTTAATGTGAAAGCGTGAATTATAACAATGTGCATGAACGTTAACAACGTTTATCATTTGAGGCTACCGTTGGAGCTAAGGGACGGAAGAAGCTAGCAGACATTGCTCTTCAAGTATCTGCAGCTTATACCAGAATAACTACTTCGAGCTCTTCTTTCCGGGAAAGTTCGTCGAGAAAATGCAAAAAAAAAAAAAAAGAAAAAAAGAAAGAAAGCGATGGACTCCAGAAATAAAGCTTCTGCACAAATATATCAATGTAGGGGGTAAGTTTCTAAACAAACTGTGGTGCTGCGTCGGTGGGGGAGTATAGCAAGGTAATTACGTATTATCAACTGAGTTGATAACGTAACTCAGCCACCGTAAAGAGTTTGAAAGCTGACGTTTCGAGCGTTAGCCCTTCGTCAATCGCTCTGACGAAGGGCTAACGCTTGAAACGTCAGCTTTCAAACTCTTTATGATGGCCAATTTAAGTTATCAACTCAGTTGATAATACTTAATTGTTCCGCAAAAATACTTAGCTGAAGCAATTATATCGCAGCCAGAGAAAAGTTGGGGTGGAATAGGCACAGGCAGAAAGATCTTGACATAAATTTCGATACACGAAAATGAATGGTATTTGCGCTTGCCTTGGCGTCGTGTTCCACTAGGAAATAACCTGTTGCAGTTTCTCGTCAAAGTAAAAGGGCGAAATAGTGGATGAAGAACGTTTGGTGGTTAAACTCCCGCCATTTTTTGCCGCTTGCCTTTTGGCTCAGCACAAGTTTTCCAGCGAATTGTTGCATGGTGTTGCCCCAGCCTTAAGACAGTTAAGTTCTTACCAATTGTTCCATTGAGTTCCCTAATATGGGCTTGTATGAACGGATCTTGTGGCTGAACACCAGATACCGCTATTTGTGCACGACTACGAGGTTGGGCGGACTGTGGTTTCTCCTCAACTTGCTGTTTCAGTGTTCGGTTCTTTGACTTCAATTCTGTGATCTCCTTTTCAAGTGACTCCACATACTCTGCAGAGAAAAGATCCTTTGACTAAAATTCAAGAAGAGCGCTACATTAGGTAAAGTATTTCTAAAGCAAGTCCCAGTATCAATTTAAGTTAGCCTGCGTAACTGACGGCTTTCTGTGCTCAAAAGAGCTAAAAACCGATAGACGACGAAACTCCGATAGGCTTGGGACGGAAATTAACCGCGGCTTCGCAGCACATCACTTCGCCCACATAAGACCCTACAGCGCACAAAACTTATTTAAGCGCATTGTATTGGTTCTAGTTTTCTTCGCTCTGCGATATGTCCAGGAAATTCACGCCACCCTCTTACACAATTAGACACAAAAATACAACCAATCGCAACTTGTTAACTTGCGTTCTTCCATTACCTTTAGTCAGTGGCACAGGGGACCCCTTTTCACTATCTCTTCGTTGCCCCATCGTCGATGAGGGCCTTGAAGCAAATTCATTGCCAAGGTTCTCCATGTCCTGCCGCATTTGTTTAATCACAGATCTCAAATTGCTGTTCTGTGCTTCCAGCTCTTTGATTTTCTCCTCAGGGGGGAAGTCACGAGGTTTTCCAACATCACGCGAAGAATCCTCGAGTTGCTCTTCCTTATTTGGCAGTTGTGTTGGAATGGCGAGACCATGCCTTTGAAGAGTTGCGAAGGCCTGATCTCTAGTTTGGGTCAAGACACGGATAAGTTCATCTCTTTGTGCCAATTCTCGCTCCCGTTCTTGAGCAAGCGCCGTAGCCTGTTGATACAGAAACAAGACTGCTTAACACGTAGAGGGATTGTTATTTGGCTATTGAAAGTAATCCTGATTTCAATGAATTTCTCTTCTTCGTGCTTAGAACAATTAAGAGCGGAAGAAAGGTTAAAAAAAAGCGACTTCATTCAAGGTAGGTTTCAAAGAAGACATTGAATATCCAGAGGGGTGGGATGGGGCTATAATCAAATGACCCTCCGAGGGAGGGAAAGGGATAATCGCTTTTCTAGATCAACACACTGTCAAAGTGGAACCATATAGAGTAATTTTTAAGAAAGTGGTAAGGTACTGATCTAGGTTTCTCTAGTGGAGAAAACCTATACTACCTTCAAAGCTAATCAGGTGCAAGCTAGTAAGATCAATCGCAATTCAACAAAGTCAACTTGTTTTGACTTAAATTTTGGGATCAATGTTAACATCTGAGCACCTGCGCAACTACCCCTCCCCTAATCCAACAGTAACTCTCCCTAAATAATTAGCAGTTGAGTGTTGTTGGGTTAGGGGAGGAGTAGGTGCACAGTTTGCTCAGAAACTGACTTTGATCCGTACCTCAAAGGCACCTTGTGATATTTTCCTTTGTTCTAAGTGGTAGCCATTCCGGTTTTGGTTTATCAACACTCAATCTAAAAGGGTTATAACTTGCTCTCCCTATATCACGTACCTCGTCTCTCTGCTTTGTGAGAGCAGCAATAAGCTGCTCCTGTTTATTGTACATCTCTCTTTCAGTGTCCTCGCATCGCCGCTGCCAATCAACTTCAAGCTGAGCTCTGGATCGCTCCATGGAAGACTCTCGCTCCAAAGCAACGGTGAGTTCTTTCTTATATCTGCATGAAAAAGGTTGATAAGATATTTAATTGAGGTAATAGGCTAGAAAGGTTTGCCACCTAAAGATATGAATTAGAGTTAATGATAAAATAGCAGTGTTTAAGACCACGGCTGGTAAATTAAGCAAATTCTGTGCGAGGTTAATTTATCACAGTCCGTTTTCCCCACATTGAAACGTTTATCTCAAAAACACGCTGATAAAAAAGAAAAAAGGGACACTTTTTGATTTCCAAAAACACTGTCCTTAACGATATAGTTTAGGTTAGGCTTCAACATCAAATCTGAAATGTCATCTGTATTTAAGGAGAGTTACTTTACGAATAAATATTCCACAGATTAGAGGATCATCTGGAAGTTTGCCGCTTACTGCCATTCATTTAACAGAAAATGCACTTTTTTCAACAGTTTAACAGTTATGCTTTTGAAAAAAGTCTTTTCCAATATTTGTTGTTAACTTTACCTTTCAGTGTTTTCCTTGAGCTGTACAATTTCCAACCTCATCTTCTCTTCCTGATGACGTAACGCTTCTAGTTCCAAGTCACGAGCCACTGTAGATCTGGCGTGATCAGCTGATTGTTTTTCCAGTTTGTGCTCTAGATCGGCTATGGTCCCCACTAGTCTGACAGCAAGTAATGAGATGATCACAATCAAACAGGAAGCATTATTGGGTTGGAAACTTTACCACTTACCACCCTTCCTGCGGCCTTAACCCTTTAACTCCCAAGATCTCATCAGTAATTCTCCTTACTATCTGCCATACAGTTCTTGTGATGTTAGTTTGGAGACTTTGGTATTGGATTAACTTATAATCACCTAATTGATATTTTTTCTTTATTCTCATCACTTGTCTGCTTGATATTGTTTTGATATTGTAAGGAGAAATCCTGTCTCAATCACTCATCGGAGTTAGAGGGTTAACCCTTTAATCCCTAAGAGTGACGAGCTTATAATTCCTCCCCAAAATATCACCCATATTTAAACATTATGATCACAAGAATTGAGGAAATGATCACTAACTGAAGAAGCTCCTGATTGTTATACAAATTCTCTTTGTTGGCACCTTAAGAAATGTATAGAGAACAGTATGGAGAATGTGTATACTGATGTCAGGGTGTAAAGGGTTAACGCCTAACTTCAATTCTCAAACTGGCTGGTACTAGACGTTCAGTCAGTGAAATGGAAAGCCACAGTAAATAGCAGCATAGAAGTGGTTGAGCAAAAAACCAAAGGAGGTTTAGTTTGGTACTTGACCAGTCCCAAACTTCCCATGTTTTTGCCCTGTTGCTATTACTACTGCACTCCACTCTACTGATGGAATGCCTTGAACTGGCTATTCTTTTATTTCACATTGCACATGGATTGAGTTTGTTATTGAAAGAGCAATTTTCAGTGAGAGTGGAAAGTAATTGGATATTGTTTTGGTTTTGCTCTTCTTCACCCTGCAATTGGGTTCATAGCACACAAATAAAAAAGTCATTTTGATTACCTTTGAAATTCCAACTCTTTTTCTTTCCCAGCATCCTTGATGGCCCATTGAAGTCTGCGGCATTCCACTTGCTCAGTCTCTAGCTGATTCTGCAGTACTCTGATCTTCTCCTCTAGACTTCTTTCAAGCTCACCATGGGCCTTAACAACAAACCACAGAAACTATGTTTTTAACCCTTAAACCCCAAAGAATAACCAGCATCTAATTACTCTTAACAAAAAAACCCTTGGGTCACCTCTGCTTGAAAATGTAGCAACATTGTATCAAGAAATTACATTTTGATCATTGCTTGCACCTCTTTAGCTGCAATAAGTGCTTGTTCCTTCTCCTTAGCATATCGATCCAACTCTGCATGCTTGTGTTGAAATTTCTCTTGCATCTTGTTCATTGTCAATCTTAACTGTTCCATTTCTGCTTCCATTTCAGCCACCTTAGCTTTGTTCATGTTCTGTTCATCTGTTAACTGCCATTCCTTCTTCTTCAGCTCCTTTTCTAAATTGTGGACAACTGTCTCTGTGTCTTCCAGTTCATCTTTTGTTCTTTCTCCACTGGCTCTGAGTAACTCTAGTTCCTTTGTGAGCATTTTAACCTGAAAATGGCAAGCCCCATTATCTCATCTTTAGTATACCACAGGCACTAGTAACTTGCTAATCCAGGATTAGATTTAAAATTTAAGACGACAGTGTACATTAGGGTATTACTAAAGTGTTCTGTGAGGTTTCACCATTGTGCATTGTAAGACTGAAGAGAGCAAACTCTACATTTTAGAATTATCGATCATGCTGTTAGGTCTAAGTCAAACTTCTACTTACAATAGGTAATTTAGTGTTACCAACTGAGTTGAAAACATAAATTGGCCAGGTCATAAAGAGTTAAAAAGCTGAAATTTCAAGCGTTAGCCCTTCGTCAGAGCATTAGCCCTTCACTCTGACAAAGGGCTAATGCTTGAAATGTCAGCTTTTTCACTCTTTACAGTGGCCAATTTACGTTTTCAACTCAGTTGTTAACACTTAATTACCTACCATACTCTCCCATCGACACAGCACCACAGTTTCATTAGAAACTTACCCCCTTTATTCTACTTATAATAACCTTGGATAGCTCAATCACATTTTGATCAATCCAGACCAATTTTATTCTTGATCAGATTTTATACAAACCTTTAACTCATGAGTAAGTAAAGAATTACTCAGGTCATCTGCTTTCTTTCTGAACTCGTGTTCTCTTTTGCGTTGTGCATCATCAAATCCTGACATTAACTCTTGTCTCTGAGCTTCTACATCCTCCTCAGCTGCCCTGTAGAAATTACAAAATAGAATTATTTAATAATTTGTTTTTTAATTTTTTTTCAATTAGTTCCTTCATCAGTTCAGCGATTGAGCTGAGTACTTCATCCAGAAGGAGCTTATCCCACTCACAATACCACAAGGTGACTTAAGGATTATTGCTACTACCTCTGAGTGGCCTGAAAGTCCACTGCAGATTACCCAAAGAATTTCATCTGATTTCCCTGAGAGTTTGGTGATAGGAACTTACACTCCTGGGTAGAGAAAGGGAAAGTGAGAGTGAAGTGTCTCACCCAAAAAACACAACACAAAGGCCAAGTCAAGTCTTGAATGCAGACCTCCAAACCCAGAGTCCAGGATGTGAAATTTTAGCCAACAACTTCTCCCACAGCTGAACTAAATATTACTCTATAATTAACATACCTCAGCTGTGCTTGCAGCTCTCTTTTGAATGACTCAAATTCCTCTCTTTCTTTGTTTACTTCATTTTCTTTGTTAAGCCTGAACTGGTTCAGTTCTTGTTGATGTTCCCTCAAACGCTACAATTCAATAAGCAGCGAAGAGATGAGAGAGACCCAGGATTGAGGGAAGATGGATGAGTCAAAAACAATTATTATATATATATGATAAATAAACAGCCTCTATTTGGCAAGAAAATATGTACAAATATTTGTCTGCAGACATTATCTGTTCCAAGATGCAAACAGTTTTTTGAGAGCAAAGCTCAAGGAAAACTGTGAACTTTGAGGAACAGAGAATGTCCAAGGAAAAAAATATTTAGAAATAATTTGGCACAAAATAGAGGCTATTGCATTTATTGTCCTTCAAGTATTTCAGAATGTGTGTGAAAAAATGTTTATGAACAGCTTACTGTATATAGCATGGGATATTTTCTTTTGAGTGTTCCATGGTATGACTTAATGAACAAAAAAATATTTTCCTTCTTCTGTAACACCCACAAAACCCTCTCTCATCTTGAATTAAATTTGAAGCACAGACTTATTGTAGTAGATATAAGGTTTAAAAATTGGGGAATATTGCTTGAGTATATTCTGGGATATCACTCAGTTTTAGTTAGGGGATATTTGGTCACGTACTGCATATAGACCAATCACATGCTAGCAAAAATATTTGATGGATCATAAGCTGAATTATACACACATTTTGATTGATTCCTACTTGTGATCTAATGGAGAACAGACACATAGATGATGCCACCATAATAGAGCTTTTACTTTTTTATCATACATAAAATATAGATTAGACGTTGCCATGTTTCTGTGCAGTCATTGATCACAGAAGACCCCAAATTGTGGTTAGAACATCAGTGACGCACTCGACTGCCCCTTGTATGCCACTGTTTTGTTCTTTTGTTGACATTTGATGCCATCTGTGATCTTACACTAAACAGACGCACAGCAACACAGAATCTATTTGTTTACCAGCTCATTAATGTCTAAAGTAGACATTAATGGGATCACCAACTGAAGTTACAAAAAAGAGAGAAATGTAGGGCAAATAACCAGGAAACACATTACAGTTCCCCCAGCTCCAAAATTAACATCTAAATTTTCACACCTGTTGGTAGTGCCTTTGCAGTTCTTCTTTGGCCTTCTCCTCGTGAGATAACTTGAGTTTGAGGTCATCCAACTGGATTTTCAGATCACTGACCTCACCATCTCTTAAACTATTGATGTTTCTAACTTGCGAAAACAACGCATCGTATCTTTGTAGTTCCTGGTCTCTCTCCTCTAACAGTTTCAGGTTGTATTCAAAATCCTCTTTCAACTTTCTAAATCGCACTCTTTCGTTGTTAAGCTGTCTTTCTTTCTCCTTAAGAGAATTCTGCAGTGATTTATTTTGCAGTTGCTGTGCTTCTCTCCATTCATTTTCTTTTTGTTCAACTAGTTCTTGAAGAGACGAAGTTTCGATGGAAATATGTGCCATGAAAATATAAATTTTTAGCGGCGGTCTGAACAGAAATCGCGATTGTTATTGTACTCAAATTTACATGGAGATTCATAGTACAAACTGAGTAATTCAAATACAGTTAATGAAACACGGTGACATCCCCAATTTCGTAAAAAAAATTAGGAAAAAAATGAGATCGATGTCATGCATCCAACTGAAAATCTGCCGCCATAATATTTGCAGTAGTTCGACCCCAGACCTCTCGCGATTCAAACAGTCCTCAAGCGACGCATGCGGCAGATTTCTGCGTGAAATTTATTGATCATCCCTTATCGAAACTTTCCAGTTGACCGAAATGAGTTGGAAACTTGCGCAATCGTCTGCTGTTGTATATACTGTGATGCGAGGAACTTAGTTAAGTTTCAAGGAGTAGTTAAAATGTGGCTACTGAGGAAAATTGATGATTAAAGCAGCATTCAAATTTGTAGATGGGGTATTCACATCATGAATACTGTCATTAAATAAAGAAAAGTCCATGATTTATTGACCAAAATTGGTTTGACAAATACAGATCCTTTAAAATATTTGTAACAAAGTATAACAGATCATATACACAAACTTTATCCCAGATATTCACCTGTAACAGTTTTGATCCATGCTGTACAAAAGCCACTTAGATCCTTCCACTCTTCCATTTAACAGTAATAAAAATATTCAGATAGCCAAGATAAAAATCATCTTGAGAATTATGGAAAAATATTCAAACATTCAAATGTTGCTATTCAGTCTGATATAAATAGGCACTATGCTGAAGCTTGGGTAAACCTGTGATCTCTGTGCATGTATCTCATGTCAGCACCCAAGGCTGATAAGGATCATATTCCTCAGGAATAACTTAATTAGCCCCAGGTCTCCATGCTTTGCCTGGTTAGCTGTTGATCGACTGACATTTAGTTATCATATGACCACTTTGTTGTGTCTGTTCAATAGCCCCAGTTGTTTCATTACCTTCTCTCCCTCCCAAGGGGGTTTTCTTTGAGCCCTCAGGGGCTCCTTAACCAATTCTCTATCTCATTTATACGCTGCATTGAGCAAGAGGGGGGTGGTGATGATCACCAGTAACAGGGACTATTCTAATTATCAAATAAAACTATTTTGAACCCACAGTTTTGCAAGTTAGGGCTGCTTTTACTTTGAATCAATCAATATTGCTTTTTTGATTGACTCTTTGACCCCTATGAGTGATTAGTAGATTTGTATCTAATTTCTCCTTACAATATCACCCCTGAATCTAACATTAAGGTCACAAGAATAAAGGAAATGATCACCAGTTAAGCAAACTCTTGATTGATAAACAAATTCTCCTTGTCAGCACTTAAAGAAATGTAATAGAACAGTATGGAGTATTAGGGTATCAAGGGTTAATTCTCTGATGATGGTGACCTACTGAAATTAAATGAATGATGAGATTTCTCTGTTCTTGGCAAATTACAAAGGAAAGATTGCCTCAAAAGCTAGAACCTCCAAAGCTGCTACCTCAAAAAAAATTATACCCACCAAACATCCAAAAGCAACAAATATAAAAAAAGTTTCAAAGGAAAATGCTACTAATTCATCCTGAGTATAAGGAATCATTACTTTCAGAACTTCACCACAGCCCACAGTTCTTTAACATTCTTTTGATCAAACCATAGAACTGTCAACTGCTTTCAAGTTTGATGATGTGAGAGAGAGTCAAAACACCAAATGAATCTCATCATCAACTCTTCTCACATCACAGCCAAATTTCTTGCATTCCCTTGACATTGTTTTCACAAGCCACTTCACACCCTCTTCTTTGGCCTTGTTAACTCGCAAATGTTTTATCTGAGTTGGTACCATTCTGAGACCAGCCAACATGCCTGTGTCTGGACTTACATCAACAAAGTACATCAAAGCAAGATCACCGCGATATCCTTCATGACCTGTGATCCCCTCATAGTCATTCAAAAAGTCACCACAACCATAAATAATAAGTCTTCCATTGTGAACCTCAATGCCTTTGACATGATGCGATGAATGGCCCTGAATGATGTGCACACCCGCCTCATCAATTGCTTTATGTGCAAACTTTACAAAGGAAGACTCAACATTCCAACCCCAGTTTCCTCCCCAATGAATTGACAACACAATAATGTCACCATCCTGTTTATGGTTTTCAATTAGATTTTTTAGCTCATTTACTGACTTGCTAGCTTGATAGAAGTCAATGATGTTAACTCCTTCCTTTTCTTTCCTTGCCTTCCACGAGTCAGGGATTCCACTTGAGGAGTGCCCAGCAGCGAAGACCAACACTCTTACACCCTTATTACTGATATGAAAAACAGCTGGAGCTTTTGCTTCCAAAGAATTTTGCCCAGCTCCAGCAAATTTAATGCCGCTGTTATCAAGGGTATTCATAGTTTCTACAAGACCAGGAAATCCCCAGTCTGCGATATGATTATTTGCCAGAACACAACAGTCAATATTTGCTGACTGAATAACATTTACATTCCCAGGGTGCATGCGATAATGGATTCCTTTCAAAGGCCACTGAGTGTCACTTGTAGTCACTGAAGTTTCCAAGTTGATAATCCTCAAGTCTGGCTTCTTCTCCTTAAGTATTTGTATTGCATCTCCCCACACATAGTCAAGAGGTCGCTCACTCTTATCAGGTAATGGTCCTGTCTGTCTTTCAGCTAAACTGACATAGTCCCTTGCATCCAGCCCATTACTCTCATAGAGTATGGGGTTGTTGGAGTGTTCTAAGATCATATCAATCCCTCTCCCCAACATAACATCACCCACCATGAACATGGTAACAGGTGTGACCATCCTCTGAAATTTGAAATCCAATTTTCATTATTTTAATTACTGATGCATTGATTAAAGACAAATAATTCAACCACGCACAGTGAAAGGTTTAGGGTTGCATGATCTGGCGTGGGCATGAATTTTGAATATTATCAGCCTCTAATCTACTTCTTCTATGTAATCTAAAAATGAGCACTACACCTAACTTACTTGCTTTCATGAATCATTGAGAATCACTTCGCTATGATTAAATCTAGAGTTCAACCTCTGTATTTTTCGAAACATGGGAATCACCTCAATACGAGTTACTTAAGAGTTCAAACGAGCTATCTGTTTTCAAACAAAACAGTTCGATTGTCTTCACTGTCATCAGCTGTCTTCACTGTGAAGCTGTCATTTATTCAATCTGGGAACAATTTTAATGAGGTTGTAGCCAAAATTCCTGAAGTAGCTGTTGGAATGTTCACAATCATTTCATATAAGTTCACCAGTTCGAAAGATTTACTTACCTTACTCGCTTGAGAAGCAAGATCTCCTCTTCCTTCACGAAATACTTCGGACTTTGAAAACTTAAGGCTGGAGTTTGAAGATCCCATTCCACAGGGACATAACAATTTCAAAACACGACAGGATCTGCGGCACGTTAGCATTAAGCATTATTTAATTCTTTACCATACTGGAACTTTTGCGATTTCAATTACTTCTTTGAAAGTCAGCAAATATTCTTACAATACAAGTTGATCCTTCAAAAGAACAGATATTATGAATTTTTGAATCTCTTTGTCACGAAACTCTCACATGGTATCCGATTGTTCCCGATTATTTTACGAAATTGACCGACAAAAAAACGACTCCTTATACAGCAGTTCCAGGCCTCTCAAATTGCGTAGTTCAAGATGGCGGAAGTGGTCCTAAATGACAGCAGATCTTCCTGCTTGTAGTTTACCTGTTTGATATCAAATGCTGTGATATTTAAGGCAAATTGGGTTCCTTTTTGCCGAGAAGAAGGTGAATGACAATCAAGCTGGGTCTCTTAAACAATGTCCAGGTGCGGTTTTTATGCCCAGCCGACGTTGATGAAGTCAAACGACTATGCCGTGAATGGTTTCCGATCGAGTGAGTATGAATTTCTGTTTTTGATACAGAACGGGAGTTGAGTTGAAGGTAGAGTAATAGGTGTCGACAAGGTGATAGCTAGTAGCGAAGGTAGAGGAAAATAGCAAAACCAGTTGTGGTTAAGAGTAAATTTGTTTCGAGTTAATTGGATAAAAACACGAAGAGTCACAAAGATACTGCCTGGTTTGTCAAGCGTGTGTTTTGACAAGGTTGAACTGAACTATAAAAGGAGTGAATTCCAGGCATAGTCAATAAAATAAATTGAAAATCAGACTTTTAAAGTTTCTTTTCCCTTTTTTCGAAGGCTGATGTACAAATCCAAGGTTTTCAGGAGATGAAGAAGTTCACATTTTAGTTTAACTGTTTACCCAGTTGTCAAAGTTACTATTTTTATTTATTATGTACGAAGTCTAGCTTACAGTTCTGTTGGCCTAGAGAGTTACAAAACGATATCGCAGCTTTCTCCCCTAATAAAGATTGAATATTTTGAAGCTATGGTTTCTTATGTCGTTAAAATTTCGAACGAGAGAGCAAAGCAAAACAAAATTTACAAAAGCAATGCGAATAAATATTTCTAAGACCTGTTTCCAGGAGGCTCAGCTGATAGATATTTGCCACTTGCCTAAATAAGCTACCACGTATATTTTCAAGAGTATTTGTTGTTTATACAACAGAACTCTACACCTGTTGTAAATATTACTAACCAGTAAGGCATTCCTCCAAGACATAACTGTGACTCTCTTTCTTTAATTTTCTAGATGTTATATCTTTTTACTAAATCTTTTACAGATACCCTGATGTTTGGTATGAGGAGATAACATCAAGTTCCCGATTCTTTTCATTGGCTGCCACGTTAAATCATGACATTATAGGACTCCTTGTAGCTGAGGTGAAAACCAAGTCTTTATGCAACAAAGAGGTAAAGTAGTGTGAGATGTTAGTTTTAAATCATATTAGGTTGAAGCAATTTTTTTCATCAAGATACAGGTGTAATTAAAAAAGTTCTGGGGAATTTTTCTTCCATCCAGGGTCAAAGGTAACATTTCACAGTAAGTGTTCCTTAATTGTGTGAAAAAAACTGGTCAGAACACCTTCCCATGCCAAATTGTTAGAAGCACTTCTAGCTCTACTTGTTACCAGGTCTTTTTATGGTACAAAGTACAACTCAGCTGATTGTTCAACCACCTAACACTTTCCCTTGTCAGTTCACTCAAAGTCATTGTTAAATCTTAACACCTTAACATCAGTATGCATATTCTCCATACTGCTCTCTGTACCTTTCCTAAGCTGTAGACAAGGAGAATATGGTTATTAGGCCAAGCTTAACTGCAAAGGCAAAAGTAATTTATGCAGACTGGTGCTTGTTCTAATGGTAAGAAAAGAACCATTGTAACCATGTTTGATTTTTATTGTAGGACACTGGAATTCTTTCTTTTGCTTTTGGTGATGATTCTCAAGTGGCTTATATTCTTAGCATTGGCGTGGTTAAACAATACAGACGACATGGAATAGGTGAATACTTGCTGATTTGTGTTGGAAGTTATAGAAGAGGTTTGCTCCAAAATCCATGTAATCTTGGTCTCTGCCACTGAAAGTATAATTATAAAGAAAATTTATCACTGATCATAATTTGAGATTCCAAAGAGTGACTTGGTTTGAAATTTGTCTTCAGCTGTTCTTAAAGTGTTGACTTACTAGAAGTCTGCCAAATTTTTTAAAACAGCTGGGGGATAGAGCTGCTCCATAGGTTATGACAAAAAATGATTTATCTATACATCAAGAATCCTTTCTGTGTTGCTGCTTATTGTTTTAAAGAGAGAAAGTGGAGTTAGTCTTATGTCACAGGTAAGCAGCCAGTTGGCTAAGAAAGATTTGAAAGGGAGGTACCCGCTTGGTATCAGTAGAGGAATTTTTGGCACATTTGAAGATGATTTTCAGCGGATAGAATCTCAAAATAGGATCAGTGTCCAAATTTTGTTTTTACTAATGGTGGAAACAAAGATGATATGGTTTCTTGAGCAATCTTTGCCTTTCATATTAAAAAAAAGTCTGCGTCATGCACTCTCCCCAAGTGACTCTGACATTAGGGTCTGTCCATAACAACCATCCCTCAAAGAGAATCCTAGGAGAACTGGCAGAAATATTCTGATATGATTGATTAAACAGACACTTTCATGTGCAGGAAAATTAATGATGTTGTCATTTCAGGAACTCTTTTGTTGGATAGTTTACTTTCTCACCTGACCACTCCTGAGAGGGAAAATTGCAAAGCTGTCTATCTTCATGTTTTAACCACAAACTTTGCTGCTATGAAGTTTTATGACAAGAGACATTTCAAGCAGTTCCGCTACCTGCCCTTGTACTATGCCATCAATGGAACCCACAAGGATGGATTCTCTTATGTGCTTTATATTAATGGAGGTGAACCACCATGGACGCTTGGATATCCTTTATGAAACCTGGGCTTTGTTTGTTTTTTATGTCAAAAATTTGGAATTTGTTTCATTTGCTAAAGAGATCTTCAAGCCTATGGGGGTTTGCATGAGAAAGAAACTTATTTCTATATGAATTGAGTTTAAAACCTTATTAGAAGGAAAAACTTGTGATAAACCAATTCTCAACTCTTTAGTTCCCCATAGGATCTCCCTGACAGTTTGGTGTGGGAAAACCCCCCCCCCCCTCCCCTGTACTCACTTATACTCCTGGGTGAAAAGAGGTGCAGTGCACTTTAAGCATCTTGCTCAAAAACACAACAGGGTGAACCCTCTCAGGGTATGAACCTTGACCTCTAAATTTACAGTCAGCCATGCTTATACTTGACATCTCCACCATTGGTAAACTCCCAGTGTTCATGGTTTATTGAGGAGAATTTATCCAACTTTTGCGCTTCTTAAATGAAAGATTTTCATCCTTAACACAAATCAATGATGCCTTGAAATTTCTTGGAGCAAAACTGTCCCAGCTTCGGCCCTGCAAGTTGCCGTTGTATCTGATGAATTGTTGCTACCACTGGCTTCTGTGGGTTACACCAATACAGGCGATAAGAGACTCATGTGTGCGCACTATGTGAGGAAATAACAAGAACAAGTTTGGTGACAGAAAAGGAAAAAAGATTAATAATGACAGTAGATGTTTTTGGCTCATTTTTAAGTCTTAATGTCAGGAGAGGAACTAGGGTGAAAGTTTCCCCTTTGTAAGCCTTGTTTGAAATGATGATAATTAATGAGTATTCTTAAACAACCTGGCATGATATTTATAGGATAGTTTGGAAAAATTCCCAACTCCCAAAATCTTTCTGGCTGGTTGGATAAGTCCTTGGAGTTAATTGTCATTTTTTAAAATAATTATTTGTTAAGAAACCTTGTCAAGTACTTGCCAATGTATTGAAAGCATTTTGTGTGTGACAGAACATTTTTGCTTCTTTGTTTTATGATCAGTTTACTTTGAGGGTTAAGATTATCTTGTGCTTTTTTTTTGCATTTTTATTAAAGAAAATCAGCAAATTACTCCTTAAAGTAAATTTTTAGAAGACATTATAATTTTTTTATGTACAAAAGCAATAATAGTTTTTCTAAAGGAACAAATCAACTTGGTGATTATTTTTTTTGTTTTATGACTGTGGTGTTCCATAAACAAATTGTAAGTTGTAACCTTGTTAGGGAAATTACTGTTTATTTTTGAAAAATTTTGTTGAGAAAATTTTTGTCAAGTGGTTTCATCAACAGAATTCTTTGGTAGTTCGATTCCTTTTAATACGATTTTAAGGTGAGAGTTGAATTGAAAATGGTCCAGGATTGCATTTTTTTTCTTCGCTATGATCTATGTCCTCCATGATGGGTCCAAAAAACTCACGCACCCTCAACCAATTAGAAGCAAAGATGAAAGCAATCAAAACTTAACCACTTTATTTTTCCTCTTTTGGTTGTCTTAACTTTGAGTCCGTAGTGAATTTTTGTAATATTTAACTTGGATGTGCTTGGCTGTTTTCAGTTGATAACTTTAGTTTAAGTTTGATCATACTTAATCAAAAAAGCTCGGTTTGCAAGAGAAAGTCGCAACACTTGCCTTACCTTGAAGTAGGTCAGTTAACAGTTTAGAGGAGTGTGACAGCTAAATCTTACGTATTTAATGCTTGTTAGATATTATTTAGTAATGCCAGATTATTAAAATTAGACATTTATTAGAAACATTTTTTCACCGATTGGGAAGTGTTGTCATACTATTGTTCTGAGATACCCAACACTGAACAGAAGGATGAGTATGACATTAAAGGGCTTGTAGCACTCCAAAGCTGTTTCTAGGCTAGACCCAAAAGACTGATTATTGGTGTTTCTCTGTTCAGAGTTAATAAAGTTGTTATCTATCTGTAACAAACATTTCCGGCGGCTAACAGAAGCGTTTTTTGATTGTCGTCTTTTTTTCCAGCTTTTCTGATCTGCATTACCAGTTATGTCTTCATTCAACTTCGATCTCACAGACCTTTCTTGATCTGAGTCTACGAGGATGCGCCTCTTTTGCGCCTGAGTCTGAGCGTTCCAAATTTTTTCATCTAGTTCCCTCAAGGCATCTTACTGCGTATGAAGCATTGTAGGTTGTGATAGGATTATTCGAATAAGCGCCACATCGAGACCGTGGCGCTTATTCGGGAAAGGTGCTTATTGACTTTTCTGCCACAAATGCGGCGCTTATTTGAGTAAATAGGGTATCTCACGATAGGAAGTTAAAGATGTGACTAAGGCGTCGTTTGATGAAACGTTGTCGATAAAATGTGATTAATTTCCTCTAAGATTTTCGCCAGTAGCTCGATGCGTTCAACTTTTCTGACGATACGACATCTTGACTTCGGTATAACACGTGAATGTTGTGTTGAGTTCAACGTAAAAACGTGACTAAATTGCTTTGAGGTTTCCTTGCCAGAAGGACCTAGAGGTTAGTGATATCACGTTTTTGTTCTGCAGGGAACGACTTAGAAATGTACAAAGTTTTATAACGCACGTGTTTTCGCTCTTGTTCTGTTCATTAGATTCTCGTTGCCGTCGCCGTCGCCGTCGTCTTTAAGTCCCTATTATCAGCGCTTCAGCACGAGAAAAGTATTAGGCCTTGAGGAACGAAAGTCAGAGTCAGTGAGAGGTCTGTAGGGGGTTTAGCACTGATAATTATTAGTGCCAGGCCCCAGACAAACCTCTCCCCGACTCGTCCTTCGGGCAGGAAAAATGCGCTTCCTGCAGCGCCAAAAATGATGAGGGCTTAACTTGCTCGCACCGGAATTCAGCAATGAGCTTAATACTACACGCCCTGCGACTGGACGTTTTCCTTTGATTTGGCAGAGAATTGCCCTGACGTCATATAGAAAAAGAAGATTCTTTGCTCTCTTCGCTATCCTGACTATGGCGAACAGTTTTGAAAATGTCTGCAAGAATATTTTGGGTTGAGCAATTTAATCCTTGTAAAAGCTATTTACGCCAAGTCAGAAAAGAGAAGAAAGCGTTACAAGGGAAAATCTTGGAACACTAACACGCTGGAAGCAAGTTTCTAATTTTACTCAAGTCTGTTGCAATCTCAGTAATTGACTCACCTTCGTCTTATGTAACTCGTTTCTGTTCTTGGCATGTTTTGAGGTCGTTTGTAATCCTTAACTGCACCAACTCATGATATTTTTGACACTGAAGGTGATAGACACAAAGCGGGTGAAAATACGTTTGTTTTGGTCGGATTAAACGGTGTCAAGAGATTATAAAATCTCTTAGCGGTGACCCCTGAAAAGTGGTGTCGTAAAAAAAAACCCACCGAGGATGGCTCAGAGAGTCTCCAGCTGGGGTTCACCAAAGACTTCACGTCAGTGAATTGAGTATGCTAGATAGACGGACACCACTTGGGTGTGGTTGGTTAGTATGCCCCTCATCCACTTTGTCGATCTGCCTCGAACACCTGGAAAGTTCAGTTAGATTATAGGTAAGATAAAGTTAAAATCCTTGTTAACTCAATGAGGGAGCTAGGGCCACGCCTGCTTGGGTGTGACGATTGATGGTTTTTGCCCTGTCACCGATAGCTAAGGGAAAGTCAGGTTTGACAGGATAATTTTTGCTAAAGGCCGTGTTGAGGTTATACGCAGGGATAACGCTTCTGCAAAAAGTTTGGCTTGACTGAATGACGCAGCGTTACACGTTCTATAAGCTTGCTGCACACGCAGATAGTAGGGAGAAATTGGACGACAGTTAGTAGGATCCAATTTAGCATTCAGTCTTTTTTCATGTATGACAATCCGTGTTGCCTTCGACTATTTTGGTACTGTGCCTGTTTCATATGACAAAAGGTGCGATATTCAACGCTAGTTTTACAATCATATATCTATGATAAATCGAAATCACTTGCTAAGTATGTTTAAATACCCTTTGGAAAGAGACTCTGGGGTTAGAAATGGAGTTTTGGAAGTTACATAAGAGCTGAAATAGTGTGTGGGCGTAACTAAAGAAATCACTTCTTGAAACGCACCATTGTTCAACTTTCGGATCGTCTGGCACCGAGGGTCTTTTTAAAAAAAATTCGCACAGCAGGAGTACAAGTGCATTACCCAAATGAAGGAATCCTGCACTGTTATGACTTTGAAAATGAAATGAAATTTTCAAAAGAGAGCTAAAATTTAAGGAAACTAAACTAGCCCTGCTATAACATCCTCGTTTTTGCACCTACAGCATGATGCATGGGATGGATTCATTGACCGGCGTGTAGACGATAAGCCTATTCATCAAAGGAACCCTTGTTTCACTTGTTTGTGTAGAGGAGAAACATGAAGACCCCTTTCTAATCAGAAAAAAAAAATCCTATTGTTTACGTTAACCCACGAGATGCTTTGTCATTGGCTCGTCTCCTCACACAACTCAGACTTGGGACACCCATGAGGTAGGTCTCTACGTTTACAAGTAAGTAACGCGTGGCAGAAAGTTAGAAAAAGACTCATATTGATGAGTTGAAAAAATGATCCCTCCCTCCGCAGTTCTTTATGCACTACGTGACCAACAATAATCCTCCAAAACAATTATTTGTTTATTTGTTACTGAGTGGTGAGTGTTACAAAATCACACTTCTAGTATGTTTCCGATCAACTGCACGGTTTTTTCTGGAACCGCTGATTACCATTACTAAATGCAGTCTACACACTTAAGACAGTGGAACATTGTTAACGGGGTATGTTTTGTAATCGATCCTGAAATGAAATATGCTGGCAAGAGATCATAATTGTTTGGAGAAACATTTTTTTTACGTGCAACAAACAACGTTCTCTTCTCGGTACATTGAGGTGTTGAAGTGCGTCGTTCTGTTGGGTTGTTTGTTATCGATGTCTGAAGTCACCCTTGATGTCCGACCAGTATTCTTGAGCTCGTCATAATGGAAGAAAATTAAGAAACAGGGCGAGAATCGCTTCACACGGCCATATGGTAAGTAAGTTGAATCAAGTTTATTCTCACCAGCTTTTATTTGGATAGAGTTTGTAGAAGGTCACGGAGTCTCGCTTCACAAAAGAGACACGTCCAAAATAATGCATTGCTTGTTCTCATAGTCTATGAAACTAGAATGATTGCTAATACACCCCTTTAGAACATCACCACCTTTTCTCGCACCGGATATGCATCGGCGGACTTCGACGAACGTTCTCGATGTGTGGCTCGACAGAACTAAGCAGAACTCTAATACAAAAAACACGATTTTCAAAAGCAGCATCGTTGTGCTTGCCAGATTTATCAAGCAAGGCAGCTTACAAATCAAAATACCCGAAACTTTTACGTTTGTTGTGCAGAGCGTCACTGATAAGATTGACATTTTTGCCGTTACTTATCAATACTAAGACTATGTTTTCCAGTCTCAATCAGTGTCATAAATGTTTATGAGAAAAAAAGCTACGCAGATCGAAACGTAAATCAAAGATACACTCAAATTGCATTTTCACTGACAAAATACATTGGTACTAGCAAAACGGCGCAGGACACCTTGTTCAGTATGCGACGGAAAGAAAAGCACGACTAATTTCAGTCATAAATCAGTTTTTGGCGTCAGGAAATCTAAATTGTTCCTTTTTAGCTCCATGATGCTGTTTGTATCACATGGAATAGAGAATTGAGGAGTTTAAATAGAGGCGGAATCGCTGGAATAAAACTTTCATCATTGCACTTTTTCAGCGAATCAGTGTTGTGATACCACCCCTCTTTATGCTGTGAGTTCCATTTTCTTTTACACGTTTCCACGAACAAAGACCTTTCATTATCTTCATCAGATAGGTAAGTATATGTTCAAATATGTTTTTAACCTTAAAGACAAATTATGCTGCATTTAATTGTTTTCTTATCAGAAGATGCCAATGTTTAGACTACTAAGCACTGTAACCCAGACTAGTGGCATGCACCAAAACGTGACCGAATGATTTTTTTCGTTTTACTAAATGTGCGAAGAGATGTTTCGCATCTTCAATAAAGTGATATCAGTCATCGTGAGCAAAAAAAACCACAGCAAACATGTGATGTTGTTTTAATCACCTTTGCTCAGAAAGATCATGCCCCTGGAGCTGAGGGTTACAAAACAGTTACAAAATAAGTACAATCTTCATAAAGGTTTAAAAAATCTCAATAATGCAGAAAAACAACTTAAAATTTATTCGTGTCTGTAAAGTCTTCATAATCTAACTAAGCCCAGATTACCTCAATAGCCATTTTCAATGCAACAACAAAGACAGGGCAGAGTTTGAGACGTTTGGTTTCGCATCCTAGCTGGTTAGTTAATTTTTAACGGATGTATTTTAGTGGACTCGGCAGCTATTCGGCGCGAGAAATCGAAAAACACCCTAAAGATTTTCCCAAATAAGGCGACAGTGCGTGGGAAGCGATTGATTAGGAATGTAGTTGCCTTGGTAACATTGTCTTTTCAAAGTACAATAAGGATTCTATTGATGCTTGGGCTAACAATGATTGCTTTCTTATATGGCATTTCAGTTATGTCAGTGATGTTATTATATACATTAAACGGCCAATCCACGTTTGTTTTGTAGCGGATAATTTCCGTTGTGGGAGGAATGACTTGACACCATTCGTTGTTCTTCTCCTGTTTAAAGTATTATTGACGAGTATGTCGACGGCTACGAACGTGCTTTTCGACAGCGAACCCAACCAACGAACGGGAAAATGAGCAAAGTAGCTCTAACGTAGCTTGACATGTCTGAACTCGGGCACGACAAGTATTGTTTGCTTTCACCTCCGTGCGAAATGTAATTGTACTGCAACGACTTTGAATGAGGTTTTGTCGACCAAAGCGGAACCCAATAACAACTAATACAAGGTACGTCAGGAAAACAGCTGTAAAATTCAAGGTTCTCAAGTCAATTTTGA